AAGCTACAACTATAGCTTTGGCTATTAGGGATTTCTTCTTCAGTTTTGGTATGCCATACGAACTGCATTCAAATCAAGGCCGTAACTGTGTTTCATGAACGGTGTTTGACATATGAAAGACCAGGACAACGCCACTTCACCCACAGTCTTATGGGAGGGTAGAAAAGTACAATTGGACACTGGGACAGGAATTGGCAAACTTTTGTAATAAGATGACTGGGATGTCTTATTCCCTCCGCTGTTGATGGCCTACAGAACAGCAGAGCATGAAGCCACTGGATACACTCCAGCAAAGCTGATGTTTGGTCGGGAACTTCGGTTGCCAGTGGATCTGATAACAGGACGCCCACCTTATGAAGAGTTGCCTGAAAATGTGCCAGAGATCGTGAAAGTGTTATCTGAAAGGATGAATTATATTCACCATCAAGCGGGTTCAAACTTAAAAACGTCTGCTAATTCCATGAAGCTATGTTGTGATAAGAAATCTACTGAAATCAGCTTTGTGCCAGGAGACAATGTGTGGTTGTATAATCCAGAAAGACTAAAGGAAAGTCTCCTAAGTTGTCTTCTCCATAGTGGATCGTCTCTCAGACGTGACTTTATTGAATAAAATATGGTCGGCGAGGTAAGCTGAAGGTGGTGCATGCCAATAGGCTTTGGCGTTATCACTATTCAGGACATTTCAGTTGGAACAAAGTGAACAATGGAACAAATGACGCTGCTGAAAACGTGTCACCTGAAATAGCTATTTTCGAAGAAGAAACTCTACCTAGTATCGAGAAGGAAAATAGTGAAGCGGTTAATGAAGTTACTACCACTAATGTGATTGCTACCGATAATGGGACTTTTCCTGATGGAGCAGATCAACCTCACGTGAAGCAGAAGCCAACGAGACGGAGACCAGTACAGAAGAAGATACGTCCCGTAAAATTAAGAGACTTTGTTGAATTGTAATTTTGTTTTTGTAAATTCAGTACATTTAATTAAGTTATTGTTAATTGTTTATTGGTTTAATGTAAGTGGCTATTGTTCGGGACGAGCAATACTAAGGAAGGGGCAGTGTTACGACAGCAGAGGTCACGTGGTGCTGGTAACACGTCATGCACTTCTAGAACGTTCATGAAACCTCAAGAAGTTGCTAGATTCGGTGTTCTTATACATATAAGACAGTCAAGACGTGACAGCAACAATGTGTAATTGAACTGCGGACAGGGAGAGAGTATTGTTGAGTCGAGCACGTGAGACGTTCGTTATGAATTACAGCGTTTGTTATAGCGCGACTGTTGAAATTAAGTGTATTGCAAAGTTGTATTGAGAAAGAATAAACCAGTTTTATTTAAGAAAGGACTTGTATCGGTAAAGTTTCTTCGGAAAGAATTTCTACGGAAAATTAACTAACGATCAGAGACGTAACAGTATTCTGTTGAATATCCTCAGATTTGTTTTAATCAATATCAAATGAATAAAGCGTCTATTATTCTATAAAATAAGGAGTTTATAGGTCTAAATTGAACTCACTCACTGTTTTATGAAATAATGATTTTAAACAGCATAATCCTATTTTCATAAGCTTCGATTTATTTTCGCTATTTTAATTATGAATGCGTAAATGTAATAAAAGAGCATCTGTACATTTATTAGAAAACAACATAAAGAGAGTATGTATTAAGAGAGAGTATTATAGAGTATGTTTTGTTACATTCAGAGGTCACTGTTGGAAAACTTGGAATCTAAACGTCTAAAATATTATACATGACTCTGAAAAGGTCATTAGACTCAGTTGTTAATAAATTTTTACTTAAAATGTAAGCACTAAGTGATATTAAGCGTACACAAACGAACTGTACTAAGTAAATGTCTTAGTAGTTATTAAAGCAGGTATAATTTTACTATTTCACTTCTCACTAAAGTAAATATTAATGGTATTAGTAGTACATTTACAAGTTACATTATCAGTCTCGGTCTCTGGTCCAACCCAGTAAGTGAGTAACTAAATTCTAAGTAATAGTAATATTGTTAATGTTATATTTAATAACAGGTTAGTGTAAATATTATTATTAGCTAAACTTTAATTTTAAATCAAAAACGTAGAAATATTTATGAACTAGGGCTAGGATTGTACGAGTAATACAAGTTACAACGCATAACTACAACTTAAAAGTACAACAACTTTACAAGTTACAACAGTACAACCTGCAAATACAAGTGTAGAATTCACGACTAGTGTTTCCTTAACAAGAACTTAAGCTAACAATAACATTTAGTTTTAGTTTTAAATTTAAATTACAGCGATAATCGACGTCTAAATTACTGTAAACGTTATAACTTGTAGTAAAATAATGCTTATAATCAGTAAGTAAACTAAAAACGAAACTATTAATTTAGGTAATAGTAAGTTTTAATGATAAATCTATCAAGTTAAACTTAGTTGCTGCCATAGTCGATATCCTAATGTTAGGAGTGTCAAAAACAAACTGGATGAGTTCAATTTTCAAACTGAAATGGAAGTTTGTGATATAAGCTTAAGGAGAATCACTGAAAGTTGAAACATGGTTATTGTAATTATTCTGAAATTCCAGGGTATAAGTTTTTACTAGTAACTGAATTTTAAAAAGATGGGTGGAGTGGCTCTTTATATAAGAGATGGACTGCATCTTGGTGAGATTGAAAACAAACAGTGATAGTCAAGAGGCTGTATCAATTTGAGTTATATTAAGGGATTCCAGGAGTATAAAGTGTATATTAGCAATTGTTATAGACCATCTGATTGTGACTACAGAAAGTTTTCTATACCAAATAGAGAACTACTAGGGTGGATGCTATTACATATTTATTGTTAACCACTAATGAGAATGTGGTTGCAAGATTTGAAGCAGGAGAACAATTGTAAAAGAATGATCATTGTGTATCTAGTTCTGATATTTGGCTACATGTTAAGATAAAAGGAAATGAAATTTTAATTCTTATCCTTGATAAGAATTAATTCTTAATTTTCAGAAAGCCAATTCAGATTCCATGAGACAAGATTTATTATTAATGAATTTAGGAACATAACATACAAACAAAAAGAAGCCAGTTGGTTCTTGTTAAAAAGTTATGTGGGATGATACAGGAAATTTTATGAAAAAATTGCTTTTATTTAAGATAAGCAAGTTTCTAAAAACAGAAAAGGATAATGGGGAAGGGCAAAGCTAATTGGCTTACTGAAGGCATGAAGGGAAAAAAATCAAGGATACATTTTATAAATTTAAGAAGTTTTAATTAACAGGTGGGATGGAAGATTTACAGAAATATTGGTAAACTAAGTATTTGGTTGAGTAATAAAACTAGGAAATTGAAAAGGACATCTGAGAAACAGGAGTATAAAGTGTTTAATTAACAATTGTTATAGGCCATCTGATTGGACAGATGAACTATTGGTGCATGAGAAACTAAAATGAAATCAGGCTGTTATTAATAAAGATGCTGTTACAATAATTGTGAGAGATTTTAATTTTACTATTTTTAGACACATTGATTTAGCAGTGATAGAGATTTTTTGAAGTGACAAAATTTATTACTAATGAATTTAGGAACATAACATACAGACAAAAATTGTTTGAACTATAACAAACTTTCCTAAAGGATTGTAGTTTCAGAAAAATATTTAATTTTAATTTTTGTTTTACTATTTCTACTAGAAATTAATTATTTATTGTTGTTATTTGCACTCAGACTGAATAGTTCAAGTGCAAGGTGGTTTTCATGTTAAGTGTAAAAATACTTTTTTTATTTTAAAATTTTCAAACTTTATTTGCATAACCTCTAAAACCTTATAAATGCACATCAAAAGTTTTTTAAGAGAAATGTTTAAGTTTTTTTTATTCATTTTATCTACCATAGCACTATCTGTAGCTATTATCATCAGATATGTTCATACTTTTTAACTCTTTGTTGAATAATCTTAAAATATCTTCTTTGAGTTGTATGTATAATTTCACATTTTTACCCCTTCACTTATTGTTTATTTTTAATATTTACCATTTATTATTTCAACACATTCAACAGGTGCCTGCAGGTGATATAACTGCATCATCAGCAGTGATACTTTAGCCTCTGCCAAAATATTTTGTTCTCACAAAGTAATTTAAGCCTCATGGAGGGTAGCAAAATTTGGGTTTTATTAAAAAAATTGTTAAACCTTTCAAATATGAAACTTAAAACATAATTAACTAAAATCTAAATACAATTTGACTGTCTGTCCAACTAATATGTACTTAGGTGAGAACCAACAGCAATCATTAGTGAGGAGAAAATCAGCAAACAGTGCTTTGGCTGCTTGACATACTTAGTGATGTAAGCTGTGTGTGAGTTTTGAAATAAGTGTTGGTGGATTGTAATTTAAAAGGAGCTCTTTCTAATGGTTATAAACATGTCCATCAGATACATTGCTTGAAATAACATATATAATTTAAAAGGTGTGCGTAGCTACTGTCAGGGTGTGAGAATATTTATTTTTTTGTGATTTATGAATTGACCTGAAGGAATTTGAACTAAGAATAGGTAAATAACACCATACCAGTAGAATTCAGTCTCTACATGTACACCGTACATGAGCTGTTATTCAAATAACAGAAACAAAAAATTAGGATCTGTGATTGCTCCTGCATTATGTGGCAATATAACTGAGATTTAAGTATTTTTATTTAAAGGTTTCATTTGAAATAATGGAATTGAAACTTAAATAATATAAAACTTTCAAATATAACACATGATAATGCTAACCCCAGTAAAATACATTGATAGTAAAGTAGTTTAATGAAATTTTGAATGTAACTCAGTAAAACCTTGTGACATGCACAGAAAGGAGTTTAAAGAGTGCACAGTAATCAAAGGGTTAAAGAGCTTTTGCATTGCATAGTGGTATACAATTATCACACCTACTAACTTTTTCTAAGGAGTTGAAACTTTGAATGAAGGTTGGCTATTAATATTATGTTTTCTTTACAATTAAAAATTTGTTGTAATTACTTTTAACGAAACTAATGAATTTGAGTTTATCAGTATTTGTAAATAAGTTTTTTTTAAAGGAAAAATACAATAACAAGAACAAATTTTACATTTTGTATGGATTTACTTTTATTAACAAACATTTCTGTGAGATAAACCATTGGCTAGTGACCTATTAATTTTGATAGGAAAAACCCTCAACAGTGTTTTGGAAGAAAAGGATTTTAGTGTTTTGGCTGATAAGTCTCTTAGTGTGCTGTTGCTTGTTGTAGAGCAAGTAGGATTTTGAGTTGTATCAACAAAAATATTGAATAAAAGTCCAAAGAGGTTATAATTTCATTGTAAAGCTCACTAGATAGGCCACATTTAGAGTATCATGTTCAGTTTTAGGTTTCTTATCTTAGAAAATACATTGAATTATTGAAAATTATTTAGAGGAGGGTTACTAGGATGAGACTTAGGATGGAAAGCTTGTCATGTGAGGACAGTTTAAGATCTTGAAAAAAGAAGACTTAGAAGAGATCTGATTGAGGTGTTTAAGATTGTTAAGGGAAGTGATGGTGTTGGTGCATCATTATTTTTGTACTTAATGGTGAGAATGATAGGACAAGGGGATACAAATAAAACATTTGACAAAGCAGTCCTCAAAACTAGATCATCAAATCCACAACAAAAAAAAGGGGCCATTGTAAGTGTCTTAATCAAGATAACATCGTGACAGATGCTGTTAACTAATCTGAAAAGATTTCTCTTAAAGACGTATTAAATACATAAGCAGAGTAATAAACAAATGTCTTCATCGAGTTAAAAAATGAAAAATTTACTTTAGGTTTTTATACTGATTAAATATTTTTGGTGAAATATAAAATTACAGGAAGATTTCCAAATTAAATCAGAGGAATAACTTCTGTTGCTTTCTGCCCATTTGATATTCAACTTTTACAGAAAGTTCAAATCAAAGGATACTCATAAAAAAAAATAGGCTAGCAAAGTATATTAAAAGACTCCTAACAACTTTATTTTCAAACATCAAATAACATAAAAATTTATTTACATTTTCTGTTTGCTCTGTGTGAAGAAGTATTTAAAATATGTCAAACTATTTTAACTTTAATAAATTTCACTGTCACTTCCAGGACTAAAGTATGCAGTAATCCAAAATGAAACTACACATGATTTGATTGAGTGCATATTAGTCCTGGTTTTGAATAACATTTTGATGAAAACAAATGTTTTGTTAAGTAATTAACACAATGCAGAAGCTATAAAATGGGGAATTATCATTATATTAAGCTATCTGTGCAAATTATTAAAATACAAGTTAGAACTAAGAAGATAAATTAGATTTGTAATGTTATCTACATATACTTTTTCCTGGTCTTTCCTTAGGTAATGCACATGTCAAAATTGGATGCAACAGGTGCCTGGCTTTTAGGGTTGCCAGTTACAGCAGTCCAATAAATTCAGTCATAACTGGCACATTGAATTAGACAAGGTGAGATGTTTGTATCATTAAATAGTCTAATTATTTATCAACAGTCTTATTTTTCTATAATATCTTAATTTTTGAAAATATTCATAAAAAGAAAAGTTAAAGGGACAAAATGCTCATTAGTTTTTTTTTTATGAAAGTATTTTGTTTTTTGTCATTCATACTTGATGTTTATCAGAACAGGCTGTAGCTTTTCAAACAGCTTAGCTGTATGCTGTTGCTAATTTTAATAACTGAAAGGTAGGAGTCATCTTCAGAGAAGACAGATTTATTCTTTTAACAGAGTGGTTGGTCTTTGGAATGGCTTGCCTTCAGATCTGGTGGATGTAGAAAATTTAAGGGAAGGCTTTGATTTTTTTTTTAGATGGACCTATAGGTCCCTTGTCCTTTAAATTCTATATTATGTTAATTTTTTCTTATAAGGCCATTTTCACTGATATTATTTACCTTGACTTTCAGAAGCCTTTGATAAGGTACCTTACAAAAGATTGATTAAATAAGTTGGATGCTTGTGGATTTGCTGGGAGAATTATGCAGTGTATAGAAAATGGGCTTTGTTTTAGAAACAAAAAGTTATGATAAATGGTCATTTTTAATAGTGGATGATAGATCTAGTATGGTTTTTCAGTAGCTTGTTTCAGAGATCTTAGTTCTTCCTTATTTGTATTAATGATAGTAAAATGCTGGGTTCTGTTGAGAATGATTTTTTTATTCAAACAAACCATTTTTTTCCTTTGCAATAACTGTTAACATTTTCATATATACTTTCTTGCAGAAAAACAGCCAAAATCAAACATGTTAAAAGAGTTGATAAGCATCAGTCATTAACTTTTTGTAAGGGGCTAGATTCATTGAACCAACTTCTGAAACTGTGAAGCTATACATTCTAGAACTCTGAATTTCCTAAGTTTATCTTTACAAAATTTGGCAAGTTAAACCATAAGTCTTTTGTACACCGAAAGATCAGCTCTTTGATAAAGTTTTTGGATTAAAAATTTGTTAATTAATTTACGAAGCCTGTGCTGAGTTAGACTGAGAGAAACTTCATTGAAGGGTGATTTTCATCATGAGAATTAAAATACTTTTTTCCATCTTACAGTTTTCATGTTACATTTACATAATCTTAAGAACCTCCTAAATGAAATACCATATTTTTTTTTAAAATCTGTATTTTATCTCTTATTTTCTATAATGTAACACTATCTGTAGAGAAATAATCAGTGTACAGTAGAATGAAAAGCTAAAAAATATGGAATAATATGTAATACCTTTTTTTCCTCTGCAGTTAACAGTTAACATCTTCATATATACTTTATTTTGATTTCACAATTTTATTGCTGTCCTTTGTACATACTAGAGAGTAATCCTTGCATCGAAAGCAAGAAATCACATTGGGAACGATTAGTTGTTGCCTGTAGACTTAATTTATGATGTACATGTCATATTTCACACAACACTTGAGGTTGGGAAATTTTAGGCATTGAAGATTTCTAAGGCTAAGCTGAGGAGTTTCTAATTTTTACACATTACTTATTTTTGTTAAAAAAATATATAACAATACATAGAAAACAAGGACTTGTAGTACTCCATGTACTCAAGCTTCTTTTCACTCAAGTAAAAATTGAAGCTGTTTTGCCTTAAGTCTCATTAGGTTTCACAAATTTGGATGTCCAAAATGGAATTCACGTAGTTCTAAAATACACATATTTAGAAGACAAAAAATATATTGGTCACTAGAATAGAATGTCACAGAACTATTAAAATTTAGCTGGCTTTCTAAGTAAGCTATAAGTATTATGTCATCAAGAAATTGTCACTTTTTTCATAGATGAAAAACCATAACAACATGTATATCAAAACAAAACACTTATTAAATTAAATAGTTTCCATTCTTATTGATGATACTTTTCCATCTTACAATCAGGTTGTTAATGCCCTGATTAAAGAAATCACTAGGCTTTGAAGCAAAAAACATGTCGATGTCCTCTTTAACACCTTCCACATTTTCTCATTAAGATGGTGTTGCAGCAAATGAAAAAGATAATCTGATGGTGCCATATCTGGAGAATATGGTGGGTGGGGGAGAACTTCCCAACCCAACTCCATAATCTTGTGTTGCGACAAACGTGTCACATGTGGACGTGCATTATGATGGAGAAGAAGAACACCTTTCTGATTGACGAGTGAAGGGAGTTTCTGATGAAGGACTTGATTTAAATGTTCCAGTTGCTGACTATAGATCTCTGCATTGACAGTTCACTGTGGATTTAGGAGTTTGAAATTAATTACTCCTTTGAAGTCCCACCAAATGCAAAGCATCACTTTCTGCAGATGGAGTCTTGGTTTTAGGGTCGGAAGTGTTTTTTTTTTGTAGGACTGAGCCATTGTTTTTGGCATTTAATATTTGCATAGAGAATCCATTTTTCATCACCAGTGACAATTTTGTCCAAAAATGGTTCACGAGCATTATGCACCAGAAGAGACGAAGTAACATTCACACATTGGATGATCATTGGAGAGTTCTTGAGGCACCCAAACACCTTCTTTAAGGGCTTTTCCCATATTCCTTTGATTTTTATGTATTGTTTCATGAAAGACATGCAATTTCAGGGCCATTTCATGAGTGTGTTGCCTTGGGTT